ATTTAATTATTGCTGTTTTGTTGTAATACAACTGCCTGAGTCATTTTTTAAATGTGTATATATTCATTAAATATATAATCGTGGAAATTTCAGAGTTGACAGTATTTTACGACGTTCTTGCATTTCGGATTTGTTTACAAATTGTTCGTAGCCAAAAGTTCGCCAAATTTGTCGTATTTCGTGCTGATCGTGTATTATAACACTGTTATATAATAGAATTTTATTTCTTAAATTTAAGTTGAATAATTTTTTTAAAATCCGTTTGTATATGCGCGGCTTTTCTCCTAATTACTTATCTTTTAAATTGTTAACTGCATAATCAGTGACACATTTTAAACAGCATAAAAGATGCATAAAAAAGAAAAGCATAGCTTATGTAATAATGAGAATACTCATTAAATTTGTCTATTATTTTCATGTTATTAATGAAATACTTTTTGGATTATAAATACATTAGAAACTATACTTTTATTGTAAATGCTACATATTGAAACATTGAAAATTTATGGATTTATTATTATGCATGATGAAAAACATTTGTATATACATTCATTAATATAAATCTTATTCATTACATTAATACTAATAAATATATATTAACAACTTCTAAAACATCGCATCTCTCTATCTGTATGTAAATATATGACTTATTAGATGTGTATATATATATGTATGTATGAATACAAAAATGAACATTGCCAAGAAGTTTATTTGAAGTTACTTTTAATTCAGATAACGATTATGTAATTGGCAGCAACTATAGTTATCAGTTCTTTGCAAATTATTATGGGTATGTAATAATCAGTTGAAAAATAATTGATGAGTATTTGAGTACTAAAGAGTGTACACATTTTGTTATTGGGTTAATTCATAATTATATCATACGTATGATCTACGTAATAAAAACATGACTAATAAATAATAAGAAATGTAACAGCTGTGCATTTATAACATTTGATTACTTAAAACAGCGCACAACTGATTATCACCTTCATGTCTGTTTACATAATGAATTGCACTTTCCAATTAAGTGCACGGGCCTACTAGTGGCCGAAGCGTCGTTGAACACTGGTAGTTCTGTCTCAGGTTAGAATGCCGCGAACGGGCTGGCTACATGACGTTTCCTTGGTTTGCCCCATTTGTAACTGGTATACGAGCCAGTTTTAAAAAATCTTCTACAAAGGGATCCCTCCTGTTGTTATCCCTCGAGGCTTTGCGGTAATCACATAAAACCAACTGAGCCCACCAGCGGCCGAGCGGTAAAGTCGCTGAACACTGGTAGTTCGGTCCGAGGTTCGAATCCCGCGAACGGGTTGGCTGCATGGACGCTTTCGTGGTTTTCCCCATGTGTAACGTGTATACGAGCCAGTTTCCCTTAGAAAGTCCTCCCGAAGGCATCCCTTCCCTTAGGCAGATAGCCCCAGTGTGCTTTGCTGTAATCTCAATAAACCAAACCATAAAACAAACTCATGATGTGAACACCTAATTTCTAGAGTTGGTATAATTAATGTGTTTTAGGTATATTACCGAGTGTTCTATGGGACAGTAAACAACTCGCACATGTTTGATTGCTCATGTATTCATATGCTTTATTTGATCTTCATTTTGCTGAATAGTATCTGCTGGCTGTGAGGAGGTAAATATCAGCCATATAGATTTTTGTCATTTGAATGGACAGAACAGTAATTATGAGCCATAAAGTTAGTCAGAAAATGCTTTCACCAGGTCACAAATTTTCCAGTGAGCCATCAAATTTTCATTGAAATGCAGACAACAGAAAATACACATAAGCGATGTGTGATAAATAGACTTATCCAGCACATGTTTCTAAACTATTCTTAGTGTATACAGAATTTGGCTATTACTGATGTAATTGATTGCTATAACCAGAAGTGTGTTTATCTGTTAAGTGCCAGAGTTATTATCTTCCATTACTAACAATAAAGTTTAAAACGAAAAGCGTGTGAGCGATACAAAACAACACGAAGAAGCGAATGTCACTTGAAAGGAAACGTCACTTTCGCCAATCTGAGCGATAACTGATTCTTGTTTGGCTTTTAGCCTGTTTGCCAAGTGAAGATGGTAACCCTATTTCGCCAAAGGCCGTTTCTCAGAACTGTTGCTACAAACGTTTTGTCCCGGCAACGAACAGCTAATGTGATAACGGCAGAAAATTTCAGTATCCATATATATGTAAAATATAAAAAATATGAATAATATTTAAGTCGAAGCTCCAAAGACTTTGAGAGAGAGCATTAGGGTTCTCACTAGCGTGGGTTTGCCTTTCAGCCACGTCTCTCTAAGCTGTTACTACGCCCGCCTGTATTACAGGCCCTTGATAGCATCGCTAGCTAATTTGATATTTAGGAGCCAACTAGTTAGATTTATGTTAGCTTGGGCTACATATCTTTAGCTAAGCATTAATTAAGTTCTTATTTTTACGCTTTCAGTGGTGTCTTTGCTGTATGCCTTTAGAAAAGGGCTGAGTGTTATTCTTTACATTGAGCAATAAAATGTAATTAACCCTTCTTGAGCTGTATGTTTCTGTTACTGAACATAAGCGATTATTTGCTTAGCTGCTGACTAGGTTCCTCCACATTTAAGCTGTTAAATAAAAGGATGGAACCCTGCATACTAAATGTTTGAGTGAAAAAGCACCTCACCAAATTTATGTTTGTTGCTATTCCTATACTTTAAATCTAGTATTGGTCGATTCTATGAATAGCATTTTAGAAGGAACTTCTCTTTTTTCTCTAATAAATGAGTGTGGCAAATTCTTTAAAGAACCCTATCAAAGAATGGACGTGTAGAGATGAATCGATGATAAAACCAAATCTAGGAAGCTTCATCTCATTGGTGAAACTAAATGGAGTTTGAAATGCTATGCCCCCCAAAAAGCGAATTTGATTGTAAAGATAATTGTTTATACATAGAATTAATACTTTTACTCAAAAGTATATTTTATTATATTTAATGCAGCAAAAGCTTTTGCAACAGATTACAACAAAAACTAGAAAGGCTAGGTTGTGATGTAATCATAGAACTACCTGCTCGAAGATGCCGAAAAGTGAAGCAAATGGACAATGAAAAATCATCCGAATAATAATTTTAGTTGCCCTATCAAACAATTCAAAACTACTGTCTTTTAATTTCATAATGAAATACACCATTTCATCAATAGAAAGTAGGTTTAAAGCATATAGGAAGTAGTACAAAGACATATCTCTTATCGATCCCAAAAGTGTTTTGAAGCCATTGTCACCAAACTCTTTCGACTATTTATCTACATTATTAAGGCACAATGTAGGTGTAATAATTGATAATTTTAAGGATGAATATCAGGACCTAGCACGTAAATGGGAAATACTAAAAAATGAAATTGAAAATCATCATTTTAAATCTGATACCAAGTCAGAAGGAGAGAGTGCTCTATCTGTTAATGAGCATTCAGCCAAAGCTAAATGCAATTTTGGCAAAACTTGTGTGTATATAAATAACTCTTGAAATATAATTTACATAGTAATGCATCTCCAATGTCTTTTTTTGCTTATATGTTTGTACTCACCCTGTCTAAAACGCAAGTTGAATGTGAAAGAGCTCTTTCAAAATTGAAAATTGTAAAAGGTAGATTTTTGAGTACTATAAAGCAAGCTAATTTGGAGTCATTGCTATTGGTGAACATAGAGAAGGATGTTTTGGCTAAAGCAAAAATTAAAGATATAATGGAGGAAATATTTGCGAAGGCATGTGGAATTTAAAAATATTTAAATGGCTATTATGTATCAACTGCTGTTTTGTTTGTGTAAATATTTAGTCACCGTTATTTATTGTTTGTAGTTTATTTGCATATATATATACATATGAATAAAATGTTATTTTTCTGCAAAGGCATATTTGTATTTTATGATGATGATGATGACAATGATAACTTATGTGTATAATGACATTTCATATGAGGCCTTAGGGCTGGCATATTTTTCCCGCCAGGGCTGATTTCTTTGACCAATCTGCCGCTGCTACTCAGCAAAGATAAAAGCATACCACTTGTTAATTTACATGCTAGAGTATGTTTAAAATATGAAATATGCATATTTTTTTTAGCACTTTCAGAGATATTAAACTCTTTTGGATGAAGAGTCATGTTGGTACCATTGGTAACAAGTTAGCAGAGAGATTGGCAAAGGCTGCCATTGAAAATCAAATTATTGATTTAAGTAAAGACTTTCTTTGACAGTTTTAAATTCTTGTTGAAAAGAAAAAGTTTGACTCTATGGCAAGCAAAGTGGAACGACCCAGATTCTAAAGGAAGATTTACATATAATTTAACCTCAACTGTAAGTGAGAAAGATGCCTAAGTGCAGTATCTAACTAAGCTTTAACTATCATGGCCACTTCCCCTTTATTATAATTGGTTTTCATAAAGATTGTGCCTGTCCATGTGGCATGAGTAATCGAGTTGAAACCGTTGTTTAGATCTCATCTATGAAAATTAGGTCTAAGATTGATTCCAGAATTGCTAAATTAATACTCTGAAGGGATCTAAGTAAACATACAGTGACAATTGAAATTGTCAAATTTCATAATATGTATCTGTAAATGAAATGAATGTTTATAGTCTTTTAAAGGAAAACTAGAATGTTTATGATATTCTGTTATTTTATTTCTTTGTATATAAGTAACAATTTTTATGCAAGTTGTGTTATATTTTACAAAGTATGTAATAATGTGCTTTTGTTGTGTGTAGCTGGTAAATCTCACCAGGTCTAGACTTGGAGTTCATTTTTAGTTGTTTTCTATTTTAAGTTATTTCAGGCAGTAAGATGGTAGTTCTGCTTAATGGGCCTGATTCAGGCCTTATTTTAGATCTCAATGTTTTTTAATTAAATAGCTCCACTAAGCCCTGTTAAGCCTCTAATGGCGGTACAGGAAGTTCAACCAGTCATATGAAATATTCAAATTTAATTAATGTATTTTCTAAATATAACTTTTCTTTCTTTTAGGCTTTGAAAAACATACCAAGAGATACTTATTATCTTGCTACAAAAGTTGGGAGGTATGGAACAGAATTACAAAATATGTTTGACTTTTCTTCTTCTCGAGTATTCAAAAGTGTAAATGAAAGTCTTGATAGATTGGGAATAGAATATGCAGATATTTTGCTGGTAATTCTAAAATTATTTCCATTATAATCATTGCTTTCCTTAATTGTAAATCTGCATTGTGAAATAGTGAAATATTCTAATCATTATGATATGTATTTTTAATTTAAAAATTTTATCTAAAATTTAGTAATTTTCTGTACAGGCTCATGATGTTGAATTTGCAAAAAATACTGATATAATTGCTTTTGAAACTCTTCCTACCCTTCAAAAGATAAAAGAATCTGGAAAAGCGAAATATATTGGTATAACAGGGTATCCTGTGTCTACACTTAAGTAAGTAAACTACATATATTAATTAAAACAAAGTAGTTAAATCACATACAGTAAGTAAATAGGGAAGAAATTGATTAATTTAAGTTTTTTTATTTAATTTTTTATTCAGTAGAAGCAGATTTGTGTGGCACAAAGATTAGTTTCAGAGTACCAAATTTTAAGTTAGTCTTCATAAATTACCCTGAAAGGAATAGGAACTAAAATATTCAAGATTATTCAGATACTCCTGGCATTCTGTGATATAATGATAGCTGTTTCTAGTCATCTCAGAAAAGCCCATAAATGGATCCTCATTTTCAAAGCTTTCCACTGAGGAAAATGCAAGCTTAAGATGTATGGCTTAGGCTTTGTAGTACTAGGTGGTAATCAGGTCCTGATACTAACATTAATCATGGCTGTTTCTAGATTGGCATTACTTACAGATTTAGGCTTTTATCTTTTGAGTATAAGTCCAAAATTTGGCCTTCAGTCGTTCATTGGTGAAGGTGTTATTCCCAATAGCTCTTATTGTGAGCATTATTCTGATCTCATTACCTAAGAGCAATGCTCTGTCTCACAATAAGTGTAGTTGGAATGTATCTATAACTGCTGCCAGCAGTTCAGATGACATCATATAAACTTCAGTTGAGAATACGGTAGATAACTGTAAACTGGATATGGGCTTCTTGGAAACATACAACAATAAATTCAAGTTCTTGAGGAGGAACTTGCTGAGATAGCCAAATATATTATGGATAAAACATGTCATTATGTTAAAGATGATGCATATTCTACACCTATCTGCAAGAAATATTATATATAACAACCTTCTTAAAAATTTATCTAAGGTTATGGAAGCCAAATATCTCACCCATGCAAGTGACAGATTTTTGAAAATTTTCTATTCAAACGAACCAAACTATAAATGCATATAACCCAAAGACTTCAGATGTTTTAAAGTGAGTGCAAGATCCTTAGTTTTAAAGCAGGTAACCTCTTCCTTAATTCTGGCACCATTCCACTGAAAATTGTTTCATTCAGCCATTCTGCATAAAATATACTGGGCTTTGTAAAATCAGGCCTTCCAGAGATAAGATAGATACTCTTGTATATATGCTTTATGTCAGGGAACACTCCATTTCCTATTCTTGGTGTTAAAAATTTCCCTGAAGTGATGCATTCAAAAAGCCATAAAAGCATTTAAATACTTCACAATTAACACCATCGAAAGACAAGGTAAGAACCCAATACCCCATACAAATTGACCTGTACATAAAAGTTATTCTGTTATTGTTAATAATAAATCATATTAATGTAAATTACAAAATTTATATCTACAAACTTTTCCTCATGCAAAAGAATCTTGCCTCCATCCCAGAGGAATTCATTTAGGTTATTTAAGCATAAGCTGCTAATGTCATTTAAATAATATTAAGCTAAAGAAATATATTATAGATAGTACAAGTATAAAGCTATTGAAAAAAAAAAAAAAATTTACAACTGAAACAGTTTTATAGGAAATTGCTTTATGTAATTGACAGAAAGTATTTAACAAATAAAATGCAAAGTTCAGAATCGATTAAGATACATTTAAATAAACTATGTTTAGTGTTTCATATGAATTTCATACCAGTTCAGAATTTATGTACTATCTTACAAAAGTGTGAAATATATCCATAGAAGAAATATGATTAAATAATATCAGTATTCTATCTTTAGATAAAACTAAATGAGTAAAAATAAATAAATTCATTTAAATTTAAACACTAAGGAATGAGTTATCTTGAAATATGTTTTTTAAATGTGATGTTGCTCATAAGAAGGGGTGCAATTTTCAGAAGAACAAATTTTAAAAGAAATACTGTCATATTTATGTGAATACAATACCAAAGCTATGTAGTTATCAAAATGCTACATATAAAATTAAGCTAAATTTATAACTCTTGAAATAGGTTAATGCAGAATCTTTTAAATCCATTATGATTTGTATATAAGAAAATAATTTTTTTCTAAAGCTTTTAAGTAATTTCACATAGCTTTTAATTCAAGTAGATGTCAAATTTTTGTTTTTATTATACCTAATCAAATTTGGCTCTGTTTCAAATTTTTTTTTATTGGGAAAAAGAAGGTTGTCATTTAAGTAAAGTGTGTTGAATATGTGGAAGTAATTTTTGAGATCACTCATGTTTTATTAATACCAGAATCTCAAAAATAGTTAGTGATTTTACAGCGATGAAGAATGAGTTCTACATAACTAATTCTTAATCTTTGCAAAATCATAACTTTTCATTGCATGAAATAATTTTTGTTTTCAAATTTTTGAAAAGTATTTTCAGGCATTTTTCTGTTTTTTTTTTTTTTTTTTTTTTTTTTAGAGAGATAGTGGATAAGAGTGACATCAAGCTAGATGTTATTTTGTCATATTGCCGATGTACTTTATTTGACAATACTTTGAGAAATTATATTCCTTATTTTAAGGTGAGTTATAAATTTCATTATATAAGAAACTTTTATGTTCTTTTGGAATCTTGTTTTTGTATGTAATATATGTGGTTATAAAATGCAGATAATTGAAATAGAAACATGTCAAAGTAAAACTTAAAATTGCCCCCTTCCCTAAAAAAGGTAAAGAAAAAAAAAAAAAAAAAAGGCCTTGGATTTCGGATTTCTATAGGTTTCTTCCAGTTTCAAAGGCTGATCAGACCTTGACATAGGTCTTCTTCTTCAGGAAAGGTAGTTCTTTGCAAAGGTAAGACTAGCAAAACCATAAAGTCTGGTGAAAATGTCAATTGGGCAACATTAAAGTGTTGTTGATTTTTCCGATAATAATCCTATGTGCTATATCTGACTTCGAATCTAAAATTTTCTGAAGAACACAAAAACCTTGTCTAAAACTTAAAGGTTTATTTAACTGGAACTTCAACACTGATGAAAACTTAGCATCATAAACGAAAACTTAACATCTTGGGTGGAAAAACTTCAAAGTGCTTTAAAGTAACAGCTATGCCGGCACGGTGAAGAACACTTTCCTTTAAAAGACAGAATCCATCTAGCCCTTTCGGCGTATATCTCCATTCGCTGAATTCAGACATCCGCTCCTACGTGTTTTGGACTTAAACGGCCAGGCTGGAACTGGAATAGGACTGGATCAGGACCGGAACAGGACTGGAACAAGACGGGAACCGGAACAGGACTGGATCCGCAACAAGACGGGAACCGGAACAGGGCGGGAACCGGAATCTCTCATCCCCTGGCTTCTCCCCGGGCAGGTCTATTCTGGCTCGAACTAAAAGAAACTGCGGTGCCACTAAGGAAAGCACCTCCTTTTATTGCCGGCGGTTGCCGTTACTACAGGCGACTATGCAAATATTTAACAGTGTTCTTCAGAACCTCATCTAGCATTTTTTTTAAAGGAAAGTCACCCCCCCCCAAAAGTTTAGTTTATAAAAATGTCTTGTGACAACATAGATATAACTGTTGAATAAGACAAAAGAAATTCAATTTGTTTCTTCTTAAACTCCATTTTATCTTTTAACAACACAACAGCAAAATACAGTACAAAGTCTGTAATCCGGACTTCCATTATCCGGAATGATCTATAATCTGGACCTCAAAGCCACAAACTTTTTGTATGCTTTATGCATGCGCGTTTAGCACAAAAAATGAAGCAATTTAAACCAAAAAAAAAAACACTTAATCCTGAATTGCCGAAGTCCCGACGAGTCTGGATTACAGACTTTGTACTGTATTTTCAAAACAAATGTATTCTAAAGATATATTAACAGTGTTACCATTAAAGAGCAACTTAATTCAAGATATAAAAAGATAATAGGTGCCACTCTTAATCACATTAATAATGCAAAATTTTCCACCTTTTGATAAAGGATATCGTATCAAAATTTTATTATAAAACTACAACGTCTAAGTTAAAGTTTATGGTCCATGAATTTAGTAGGTGTTTTAATATTCCGACCACAATGATTTTCTCCTTAAGAACTTCGTAAAGAATTTTCGACTCCTTTCCTATACATTCCTCCTTCTCATTTGAATTACTTGAAGCCTGAAATTTTAAAATGTAGATATGTTGCACAGGTCTGAGTAACTCTCCATAAGCAGTTTTCAAACACACTAATCTATCATTACCGTCTTTACCACGGTAAATGTGGATTACATACCCCAGTGGCCAAAATGTACATTTTTGCTTGACATTTTCAATGAAGACAATATCACCAATTTTTATTGACTGCTCTGGAAGTTTTGAAGATCGTTTGAGCAGTAATTGTCCAAGGTACTCTGTTCTAAACCTGGCCTCATGTTTTCCTAAGATGTTGTTGGTATTGAATTCTTTTTGTGAAATTCACTTTGTCTATGTGATCCAGATTAGGAACACCCAATTCTTGAATATCTGCAGGAACACTGCTGGACTTAAAGGCTGCAAGTTATCTGGATTTTCTGATATGTATGTAATAGGCCTTGCATTTATTATAGACTCGCAATCAAAAATAAAAGTTGAAATTTCTTTGTGCATCAAACTTGTATTACCTAGGACACATCACACTACTTTCTTCACTGACTGTATAAGGTGCTCCCAAAACCCTCTCATCCAAGCGGCAGTAAGGAGATTTAACTTCCAAGTTATTTTCTTTAAACTGGCTTCCACTTCAACTATTTCCAGTCAAGCCAGTTGAAAAGATTATTTGTACCAATAAAATTACTCCCGTTATCACTATAAATGATTAGAGGTCACCCTCAACGAGCTTTAAATGTTCTTAGGCTGAGTAAAAATGCCCTAGTTGACAAAGATTGCACAAGTTCTAAATGAACAGCTCTAAACACTGCACAGGTATATAAAACAATCCATTTCTTGACTCCCCTTCAGAACAAGTGGGCCAGCAAGATCAAAAGCATAAATTTCAAACACTGATATATCCTTGATTCTCTCTTCTGGCAGTGCAACAGAAATTGTCTTAATTGCTTTAGCGGTGTGTCTTCTACATCTTATACATTTTTCAGTTACTTTTCTGACAGTTTTTCTTGCATTTATGATCCAGAAACTTTCCCTTAAATCCGCCAATAGAGAATTGAACCCATGGGCATTTTAAAGTTTTGGCAATCTTTTCAATGGACAGAAAGAAAACACGAATTCTTCCTGGAAGATCTTCGAAATATGAAATAAATTTCAATCCAGATAAGTATTCTTCAGTAAAAGATTCTTTTTTAACTAAATTAACAAACTTTCTTTCTGATTCTAAAATTTCTTTTGTGGATAAGTTACCACTCATTCTGTTTTACTTAGTTTTTCAAGAGTTATTCAAGAATCTTAAAATCCATGCAACCATTCTGATTATTTTTCTGCAGCTTGTAAAAACCAACCTTTTCCAATCAGAGCATTTAACATTACCAATGCTTTCTTTTCCATTTCTGAAAATACTTCTTGTTTGATCAATGTATAAGATTTTGGCCATTGAACTTCCTCCTTTTTCAGCCAGGGTAGTCTCTCCCACCAATTAATTTCTTTACAGTACAGTTTTTTTACAGTCAGTTAATTTCTTTACAGTACAATCTCTTGAAGGTAAATCTGCTGGGTTTTTCTGAGACAGGTATGTGTTTCCAGTCTTGTATACTTGAAAATGTTTTAATTTCTTTAAGCCTATTTTGAACAAATACTATCCATGGTTCTTGGTTGTGAATCTAATGTAATGCAGTTGATGAATCTGTCCAGAAAATTTTTTTCACATTCGTAAGATTCAAAGATTTTTTAACACAGAAAGATAGTGTAACACCAGTGCTGCAAGCTATCAATTCCAGTGTTGGAATAGACATTTTCTTCAATGGAGCGATTCTGGGTTTGGCAAGTACTAATTGAATTTTCACTTCTCTTTCACTCTTGCATCTTATATACACAACTGATACAAACTAGATGCATCACAAAATGTATGCAAACTTACTGGGGAGTCATCATCAATCAATATAGATCTTCAAATTTTCAAAAGTTCATCAAGCCACTTCGAAAACTGCTTTCCAGTTCTTTTCGTATTTCAGCATCCCAACTCAGTTTTGATTTTTCAGCTTTCCTGAAGCCATAGTTTTCATAAAAGTGTCAGTGGACTAGAAAATCCAATGAGATCGAATACTTGCTGAGCCAAAGAGAGCAAAATTCTTCTAGTTATCTTTTTTGTATTTACTATTAAGTTACTGCACTGACACTACAAAGTAAGATATCTTCATAGCAATCCCAAAATAGACCCAAGACAGGGGTTGGTTAATCTAAAATTCCTGGCCTGTAATATTCGGTACACTCCACTCTGAATTCAAATTTGCTTGCAACAATCAACTCGGTAGACACTTTAATGAATTTATGCATTTCTTCCTCTGAGTTAATTGAAATGATGCAGTTATCAACATAAAATGACTTTCTTAATTTTTCAGCATTATCTTTAGCTTCATGTTTTATATTCTCAGGATGGTATCGGATAACAGCTCGAAGAATGAAAGGGCTGCAAGTTAGTCCAAAAACCACTCTTTTATGTCTAAAATCTTGTACGTTTTTGTTTCTGATATCGTGCCACCAGAGAAAATGGAGGTAATCTCCGTCTTCTTTACAAATGGAAATTTGCAAGAATGCCTCCTATGTCAGCACTCAATCCTATTTTCTTTTCTTTGAACTTAAGATTCACTTCCAGTATTAATTAAATTGTGTTTGCTCCTTTTTCTAAATAATCGTTTAAAGAAGGGCTACCTTTTTGTTTCCTTGAGGCATCAAAGACTGGTCTAAGTTTTGTTGTTGAATTTTCTTTGTACATTCCACGGTGAGGAAAATAATCTTAAGGAATTGAAAGTTATTCAAATGATACCTTTTCTATAATGTTATCTTTAAGCCATTCCTTGAAAATAGAATTGTAAGCATCATAGTTGCCATCCAAAACCAATTTTGATGCAAGTTTATTTAATCCTTTTTCAGCAATAGTTTTATTATAGAGAAGATTCTCAACCTCTTTCAATGGCAATTTAATTTGATATTTCCCTTCATTATTTAAAGTGGAATAATGAACGTCTTCTTAAAATGAATTTGCATATATGTGTTAAAATAATTTATGGCAGGTTCTTCAGTTTCTTTACTGCTATACAGTTCATAGGGATGCTATACAGTTCATAGGGTTCCAATGGTTTCCAACTCCCAAAGTTTCATTCAATTGTCACCATGCCTTAGTAGTGCAATAGCTGCTAAAAAATCTCTAGCAGTATTAGTTTCTGATTTTCTCATCAAAGCCCATCTCAGATGAGTTTCCACCACTGTTAATCCAGAATTTAATTCGTGAATCTTTCCAGTATAAAGTTTCCCAGCAAAATCTGCCCCAACTGTCGAAAAACTATGACTAGTTTTTTACAGTCATCGTACCTTTTCAACAACTGTAAATGGGTTTTTGAAACTATCCTGAGTAATACTGGCTAATAAATTGTGTTTTGTTTCTTTATCA